TGTATTATGAACTGCCTTTTTTGTTTTATCGGTTACACTTAATTGATTCTCTCCCCAGCCCAATTATCTAACCTGCCCTTCCTTACAGCTTTCCAATGAAAAAAAAAATCTTTAATGCAAGGTAGACTTCTTCACCAGCAGATAACTACAGCATTTTAAAGGTTGTTTATATCAGCATTGGGCAAGAAAAACAGAAGCGCTGGAAAAAAGACAGATGCAAAACCAGCATTCAGACACAGTCTCAGAAAATTTAGCAGAGGCTCAATCTATTTGCATGGCAGAAACCAGTCAAGATATCCTGAAATCTGGGAAGAGTATGTTATGAGGTCCAAAGAACTCGTGATCCAATTCAGTGGGGTTGGATGCCACTTAGATTTCTGTGATATAAATGACAAAGCTTAACCATGCAACTCCGTGATCATACAAAAAGTCCTTAAATACAGTGAAGTTAGCTCTTACTACATGTGTATGCTAAGGCTCACTGACCAGAGGTCTTGGGACAGCAGACAGGCTGACGTACCCATGTGGGCAAAGGTAGATCCATCTGTTACAATTCGAATAGCTGTGGCAGTTTGAAGGAAATAGTCTCGCAAATATTATTTAGGTTATTCTATCAGACGCTGGGGATTTTTGTTGGATGAGCTCTAAAAACTACTGAACATTTGCCAAAAAGAGACCAAGATTATCTAGCCAAAAAAGCTTAAAAAACAATTAAAAAATCTCTTCATACAGTAGAAGTGTATGAATCCATGAAGCTTCTCAGTATCACACTTCAAATGACGCTTCTTAAACACGTGCAAAGACAATGTAAGTTGACAGCAAACAGACCCTTGCCAAGACCAAATCTACTACTGGTTTAAATGGACACTCATCTACTAGGAGACTTGCCTAGATGAATGGAGGCAATTTTCTCACATTTTTCATATTTGATATCTCAGGTGACCTCTTGAAAGTATTCCAGAGTACTGCAACACCTGGACCGCTACTCTTCAACTCTAAGAGAAGCATTTTATAAATATATTTGTAACTTTGAGATTGAAATGCTCAACATTAATAACAGCAATTGCCTACTGCAAACCTCAGGGATGGTGAAGTTGGACCCAGTATGAAAATTTCTCTTCCCCTTTAATGACAACAGCTCTACCACACCTCGCAGATCAAAAGTCTGACAACATCTAAAGAGGCATCTCCCAAGGTCAGTCCAACGACTGCAGGTCCTCGTGGTTTATTATTTAAGAAACAGCCTGGTTCTATATCATGCCAGACACATTATTCAGATTCGGCTCACCAAGAGGTCCATGCGATCTCCTACAGCAAAGCATCAACACTGTTCCCTAACAACACAGCTTCTCAGTCTTTGAGGCACTGACAAACTTCTGACCAAACGCAGCACGAAGGGGCAGTGAACACACTCTACTTCTGTGGGGGTTCCAGTGAAGCCATTAACCTCCACCAGCCATTCTGCTTGCAGCAGCTTGCTCTAACATTTGTCAGCAATTACATGAAGCAGGACAGGAACTTGAATATAAAGCAAGAGAAAAGCTTCTAATTGATACAAGCCCTGAGCAAACAACAGTGGTCTTTATACTGGGCAGCCACATCCACGCCTGGTGGCTGTTTCTACCTGCAGCGCATGAGCACAGGTGAGGCAATGCTTAGTCAGCACTTCAGGATTTCAGATTTATATCCATTGAGCGTGTACATCTGTCTCTGCCTCCTCACTCTATTCAGACTTGACCTCTTCTATTATCTTTCTCAACTCTTGAGAGAGACTCTTATTAACACACCTAGAGCATTTGATGTGCCCTAAAACATCTTTAAAGGAATATTAACGTATCATCAGCTTTATCTAATTTTCCAGTATTTCTAATGTGCTTGCAACTAAGCAATTGAAAGCCACAAGCACTAACACCACATACCACACAACACTGTGAAGTACTTGTCACGCAAGGATTATTTTTTGTTTTGTTCTGAGACAACCAATGTTAACAAAAGTCCTGGTTCATGCCTGGTTTTTTAAGTAGCTGCTGTTCTTAAGTTAATACAATTTTGTTATGTTTTTTTCACCTGGATAAGGAAGGCAAAGATACTTCATGCCCACTGAAAAAACACTGAAAACCAGCATGCTATAAAACAACACGGCAGCACTAGAATTTGACATTCATGCTCACGAACTAAATGCACTAAACAAAATATACTTAGTAAACATTTTGAAGTTAAAAAACCCAAACCCACCAGTAAAATAAAATTAATCTCTATTGAAAAAATCGTTACTATTCAAACTCCAGGAACCTTCATATAACAGAAATAAAAATGTCACAAGCTGTTACAGTGTATAAACTAGAAGGCTGTATAGATTGAAAGACCACCAAAATAATCTTAAAGGACATTCAAAATTCTGCCAACACTACATTTTTGCTACAGAAATGCTAGGCTCATGCTCTTCAAGGCGGATTTCAAGCACAAGTGAGCAAATAGTACTAACTCAATTGGATAGTGAACTGTTTGCTGTGTCAAAGTTTTTTGCCAAACATATATATAATTTTTCTTTTTGCTATATGGATAATCAAACCCAGATGGCAATTTACATAGGCAACAGCATAAAGGAATCCATGCACTGCTGGTGCTCTCAGCCTCAATCAGAGCAAGCACAGGCGTTTGAGAATGTCACTGTTTATTTTTAATTGCTGTGTCCCTCCTTTGTGCAGGTTCAAGCGGTCAAAGACGTCAAAGTCCATTAGTAGAACTGGAAAGTGATGCCACTTCATCTGGTGAGAGGGTTCTTCAAATTTAAAAAGCAGCTGGTTAGTAATGTCCCTAAATGCCCAGTGGGCACCAGCTGTCAATCTCAGTTACCACAGGGTCAGGGCAAAAAAAGGTCAGGGAGAGCCATAAACCGCAACGTGTTGTGAAATGTGCTTCCTCCATTACCTGGTAGGCCTGAGAAAGGTTTGACCTTCTAGAGGTATCCTAACCCAACTCAGCGTGATGCTAGCAGGGGTAAGTACAACACACAAACTGACAAAAGTTGCTTCCTTTCACTTGCGCTTTGGCTTCTCTACCTGTACAATGTGAACACAAATACTCACAAGCTGCTAGTGGCAAAAACCAAAATGCAGAACTCTGCCTAGCGGTATTATCACTGAGAGCTACAGACACATCTTCTACTTCATACGAGGCAGTGGAAGGATTAATTTATTAACAGCAATTGAAAATTACAAACTTTGAGGTAAGTTCTTAATGCCTTAAAAGCCAAGTCATCTGCCTTGTCTTTGTCAAAGATCTGCTTATCTGCTAACTTGCCTTTCACTTCACTGCTCCCTTAGTCACTTGGAAAGAAAACATCTTTTAAAGTCCAACTTAAAGCCATTCACTACTGTCCTTTTAAACACCCATTTGCAGTATGCAAGTTATTCACTATATTTTTATCATCTTCCCCTTCATATAGAATTCTCCAAGAGCAGACTAATGCCTAAACACATTTCTTCAAAACATTCTTGGACTATACACCAAGAGCTGAACAGTCATTTCCAGATATAATCTAGTCATGCATTCTTTCTCTGCAAGAAATAATTATTCTACTCCATCTCACCCCTATCTCCCAGCGCGCAAAGCAACAGGAAGTTTGGCCAGTGCTGTGCCAAAAGCAGGTAACAAGCCAGGCCAGGCTCCTCTTGGGCAGGAGCAGCCCTCAGCACTCATCAGCCTTGTACTCCTAACTCCTTGGCCCCCTGGTGCAGGCAGGCCCAGGACAAGCAGTGGGACACAACAGAATGAACACTGGGAAAAGCAGGAGAGGTCAAAGCCAGAGCTACAAGCTCAGCGAAGCATACTCCCTGCAGGAATTCCAAGCAGGGCTCCCAGAATGGGCTGCATGCTGCAAATGAGGATACGGACAGTGAGGAACTCCACTGGGAGAACAGACATGATGGGGTACGCATCATGCAAATCACTTTTACGTGAAGGGTAACACAATATAAACTAAATGCCCACAGGTATCACTGAAGAGGCTGACCAAAAAATTAACTGTCAGCCATCAGCAAAACTTTTCAAGTGAAATCTGAATATGTAGTCCTTCACTTGCTCATAAAGTACAGGCAAAACCGAGAAAGCAGTATGTTCCTCAATAAAAAGATGAGGCTTTTATAGCACCACAACTTGAAGACGACACTAACAGCACCCAAATGGCCCCATCCAGGCCTGTTCATCTCAAAGCTGTCTGCTCTCAGAATGTAACTGGCTGGGTTCAATTTACATGGCAGCTGCTAAATTCTCCACAAGTCTTGACTCCAATTGGGCAATTAATGAAAAGGGAAAGTCAGAGCAAAATGAGCATCTGTGAAATAGGCTTCACCTTTTCCAAGTATAAAGTCACCTTGTTTGACTTTAATAGATGAATATTTTAAGGAAATAAATTTGTAAAAATAGTTAAGCAGTTCAAAAGTCACTGGAAGGCCTCTCGACTTTCTGCAGGCTTCAAAAAGCCCAACAGCAGTAAACCACCTACTGCATCCCTGCAGTTCTCCCAAAACATTGACATTAATTCAAACTCCACAAAACAAAGAGAATGTGCATCAAGCCTTTCAACACTCTCTTCTTGTTATCTCCTTCATTTCCAGACATCTCAGGAAGCGTTCCTACTCCAATCCTTTTGCAAGCCTTCGCACTGCAGCCCATTTCAAATGAAAGTAGCTTCACTCAAATCTCTTTCAGTCCCTGGGCACATCCGATCTTGGAAACATGCCCACCCTCTCCCAATTTGAAAGTCTTAACACGCTAATCCAGGCCAGTCTTCCCTGCTCTTCATCCAACTAAAATTGAGCAAGTAACTTTGCTGCCTACCTTTAAAAATCTGTCTCTTTCTATTATAAGCAGGCTTATAATATTGTACAAAACAACACTGAAAATAACTGAATAAATTTAGATTGAAAGAGAACACTCTCCTCTTTGTCAAGCGTCTCTATCAGGAAGACTGGAGGGAGTGAAAATGAGAGACTCACCTTCAGGGCAGGAATCTCCACATTGTCACCAAGGCTAACAGAGCCAGAAAGAATAGTCCCTGTCATCACTGTGCCTTGACCCTTGATAGAGAAGCAGTGGTCGACTGCCATAAGGAAGTGTCCCGAGGGGTCTCTTGATGGCAGGTAAGCCTGAGACTTCAGGACCTGAAAAAAAGAAAGATAAAAGCAGCACCATGCTTGCATGAAAAGTCATGACAGCCACAGAGCAAAAGGAAGGCAAGCAGATGACTGATTGAACAAGTCTGCAGTTTTACTGATTTCAGACATCTCCCAGCAAGCTTAGAACACACCAATGTCAAATTGAGTGTGTGTGCCATACAGAAGGCACACTCTCAGCAGCAGGAACAGTTTGATTTTCTGCCTCAGAAAGATCTGGTGCTGCACATTTAGCTTGGTTAGCAAAACTGCGCTAGCGACAAAGTTGCTGCCAAACTCAATCCAAACACTGCAGCAAAGCAAAGTAAAATAAAAAACTTGTACATCACTATCTACCCTCCCCCCCCCAAAAAGTAAAATTTTACAGCGCATTTTGCTGCTGCAGTCTTTTCAGACTTTGTGAAAAATGAACTTCTATACAGATATTAGCACCCCATAAAGCTCATCCCTGCCTCCCTCCCAGAAAAACTATATATAAACTTTTCAAAGTCTCCTTCCCCTTCAGATTTCTGTTAACACTTCTTGGAGGACCAAAACACTAAGTAAAAATCCTACGTAAGTACCATTTTCCATAAAAATTCTCCAAGTTCGAGATTTATGTTTAACTGACAAATACTATGTCCCTTAAAATGTATCATTATAGACAGAAGACTTTAATTATACAAGTGCAGTCATTTACCCCACAGTGCCTCAGAGGAACTGGTTCACTCCCATCTCAAATCACTTTTGATCTCTGCCTCTGTTTTAACATCAGCACATAAACTTGGCACCATCTTTAATGTCTGCTTTTAAGGTCACAAACTGCAGGTTAAGTCAGAGTTGTAACCGCAGAACAATGGAGAGAGTCTCTTATCAAGGACAGAAAGGATAATACCTTGAAGCTCAACAGCAGGGCTCTCGCAGCATTTGCCAGCTTTTCTAATATTAGGTCTCAGGTCGAGACTTCTGATGACTGGTGCCGCACCCTCATTTCAGCAATTTACAAGTTTTTTAAACCTGACGGCACTCAAAGCATCCAAATCAGACCTTGACAAGTCTGCAAAGAATCAGGCCTTTGTTTCAGGACTACACTCTGCTGTCTGCCAATAACAGTGGCACTGCTCCAGGGCAAAGATGCTACTTTTCCCTAAAGCTTATTCACAGAAAGTGTCTTAAGTCTACAAACTGCTCCTGAACAGTTATTTTAAGTGCCCTGCCCTTCACAGCATAAGCTTCATGCCATAAAACTTATGTATCAAAAGAACTAAGTTATATGATAAGAATTTATTTCCCCTTCCAAAACACCATCCCCCCCCCCTCAAAAAAATAAAAATAAACAACCCACAAAAAAACCCAATCACCAATCCACACTGCTAGGACTAAGGATACCTGTGAAGCACCAGTGCTTAAAATCTTCTCTTGTTCATTCTGGTCTGATAGAACGTTAGTCACACAAACATTTTTCTTCCAGGCCCTGCCTCTTCCAGGACACAAGGTGAACCCAAGCCATGCTTTTTATCGTTTGCAGGTGTGCAAGGCATGCAGCAAGCAAGGCAGAGTATCACAGAGAAAGATGGTTTCACCCTGAAGGCAGGTGGTGCTCCTCTAGAGAATGGATTCTACACTTACTTATGCCAGAACTCCCATGTATTGCCATTCTCTTAAAAATGAAACTTTCCTCAGGTAATCACTGGCTATACACCTCAAACTGTCCACACACAAACCCTAAAGATTGACAGAAGTGCTAAGCACACACATTTGCAATCAAAATTGGCAAGTATTATGATCTGAACATAAGCATGTTCCAAAAGAGTTCCTCATTTCCTTAAATTTAACAACCAAAATTAGTAAACTCAGTGTGCTTAACTCTTTTGTGTCTCAGCCTCCCAATCTAAATGTGGATTAAAGTCACCTCTACGCTTCCTGCAGGTCTTCTGGAAGCAAATTAACTGTTTGCCAAGTGCTCAAGACCACAGTGATGTGTGCCAAAAGAAAGTCCAAGAGGAAATTAATCATTCTGAATGCAGAGCAGTATTTGGAGTCACGAGGCCATTCAGAGCACATTAAGAATTAAAACAAACTACCTGCTCACTAACTGAGCCCTGTCCATCCTGCACAAAAATGAGCTAAGAGTTGTTTAGAATAAACTCATACACTTGAAACACTGGATCATAATACACACACCAAAGAAGGAGACAACTCCTATGGGTAGAAACTGAGTGCCTTACTTGACAACTTCACTGTTTTCTTAATGGTGGTACAATTATAAAGCAACACCTACCAAGGATTTGGTAGAATTTTAAAGCTATTTTTATCCCTTATGCTTCGCAATTATGTAAAACTTCAAAAACTAATACATGTGTGATAGCTGTTTCTTAGGATATGGCTATTCCAAGGCATCGAAGCCTAGTAGTTGGAAGAGGAGATGCACTTTTGGGGTATGCAACCTCAACTCCTCCCTTCACTGGAAGGAATCCCTAAAGAACCAGCTTCCTTAAAATTGACATTAATGACAGAGTTCCTCAGCTCTAGAAACTAATACAGTGTAGTCCAAAAGATTTAAAGAAAAGTTCTAGCAAATTTTATGTTATCATTACATTCTTCAGCAGGTACCTCAATTAATTCAGAAACACCTAGTGGATTCTCAGACTCTGGGGCTTCGGGTCCACCGGGCTTTGCTGCAACAGCAACAATAGGACACCCACAGAACCTGAAAAAGAGAAAGACTCTCACCATTAGACCATAGATCTCCTACAGCAGGACATAGTTCCATGCTCACCTGAAAATGGAAGCAAGAAAACTCCCTCAAATTCCAAGCTATCTGCTCTTCCCCCGTAGCGAACAACTGACAATATTTTCTTGTATTACTGGGATCTGCACTACTGGACTTCATTATAAAATCTTCAGTCCTCTGCAGCATTAGCCACTGATTGGACTCTGTGGCAGTCAAAATGCAGGATTTCAGCCTATTTCAGAAGGAAAGGTCTGTTACCCAACTTTACTGCAGTGACTTTGCATTCAAGCCATTTTACCCGGAGACTAGCCCTGTTTTCAACTTTCATTAAAACAACCAGAATTCTAGTTGTAGAGTCATAACCTTCAAAACAGGAGCCAAAGGCAAGACGGCACGTGACGGCCACCCGAGTCTGCAGGCAGACTGCAAAAACCTGCAGACAGCAGAAAGATCTAAATATCCTGAAACCAAAACTTATGACACCTCACAAATCTCCAAGATGCAAAGGCTCAGAGAAGAGCAGTACTTCCACAGCTGACCTCAGTTTAGCTTTCCTCTTACAACGAATCTTACTCTTTAAGTCCTTACTATTCAGTAGCGCTTTTTTTTTTAAGAATTCAGAAAGCAGACTTCACTTTTGTCCCCTAAATCATAAGCTAGTGTCTGAATCATCTCTTACCTTATCCTACCTGCACTTCAGAAAGGGAAGTTTGACTATTAAGTCAAATTATTACTATATTTTTGCAAAAAACAGAATTAACCATATAAAAATATATATTAAAGCAATGGAATAATAATCAGCAATAACAAAAAACTAACTGGTTCTCATAGATACTTAATTCTTATGCAGCAGATTCACAATAAAAGCAGCTTCTGTGGTCATCCTTTCACTACCCACCCTCCACAGATTTGATATCAAAAACGGAGTGAACTGGGAGCAAAAAGACAGGGCCTTGATAATGAAAAAGTTCTGCAGAGCTCATTTAGTGACCAAACAGTAATCAAGCATATATAGTATTTTTCTTTGTTTATATGCCATAAGTCTGAGGTACCTAGGGACAAAAGGGTAATAAAAATGTTCACTGACAATTCCTGTGATTAGCCATAAAACTTTTGGAAACTTATTTTCATTTAAATCCTTTAGGGCATTGCAATAAATATGAATTTATGATAAACCAGGTGCTTTACTCCTTTTCCCTATACACTAGAACAAACTGGAATAATCATACACTGCCTTTGAAGACACTTCCAAACATGATTCAGCCCTACTAAAACTCTAACTCCATCAGATCAATTTATTATCAGCAGAGTTTAGACCCTGCTGGACAAAAATAAAAGTTGGCATGCCAAAAAACTATGAAAAAAAATAGAAATTCCACTCATAAGTACCAGCTTGCTTTTACTTTTGGTATCAACCCATGGAACAAGTAACTTAAATTTAATTTCAACTATTCAAATTACAACAGTTACTTTATTCTGGTTTTCACCTTCCACGGAATCTCCTGACAACACTACCGTAATTACGCATGCATGCCTGCATGTGTAGAGAAATCAATCAAGCACACTATTCCTAAAACCAAAACTCATTGCCAAGTGTTTGGGGTCAGAGGCAGCTGTCAAATGGCCTCAGCATATGCCCTGCTAATAAGAGCAATTTAGAAAAACAGTTAAACATACATGCATCTGGAAATTCAAAGTCAAGCGGGAGAGAGGCTGCTGAGAAACAAACACATGCCCGAGATACAACAGGACAAGCACTTGACAATCAAGCCCAGGGCAGAAGTGCTTTCAAAGCACCATAAAAGCACACACTGCACATGCAAAAACTGTATTTTGGTTATGAGAACAATCCACAGACACATCCAATAAAAGAGTATTTTGAGGATTCAGAGTTCAAACGATTAATTAAAACATTATGACAGTACCACTTCTCTCCAGGTGGAATCACAGCTGTCCTGAACACCCGATACAAATCCTTGTTTTAAAAGGGTGCTAGAGGTATGGATCTCAGTTGGCATGTCAGCTGTTTGGAAAACTCACTTCCCATTCAGTTTTGACAAAGCCTACTAATTTCCAAGACATGTTGTAAACACCCATCTGTACTCCAGAATATAAAGAGAAGATGTAATTCAGTGTACATAAAAATTACCTCTTAAAACTAGTTTTCCTACAAAAAAAAAAACACAACTGTCTTCCTTTTACAAATACACAACTGGAAAGGTCTTTTTATCACTCACAATTCAATCCTGGACTAAACCAAAACCAAAGTACCACCTGCAGCAGCAATTACTACTGTTCAAGAAGAATAAACAAATTTTAAAAGGACAAAATAAAATTGAGCATTAAGACAAAAAATATCTTAAAAATCATTAACTTCTTAGCACAGAGGAGAAACAGGTAAAACCAACTATTATTGTAGTAGCACTTAATTCACATTCTATACATCAACCTTTCAAACAACCAAATAAAATCAAAAGAAAGCCATCAGATAATAAAAGTTTGGAAAGCTTCAGAGATAATTATCTCAATACTATCCCCAGTGGGATTACCTGCAAATAAAACTCGCAGCTATAGAAAACCGTTAATCCAAAATGCTTCGATACTTTGCAGGTGTCTCCTCTATCTCCCCTAAAATGAGGGGCAACAACCTACAGAGAAAACCCAAGCTACTCGGGACTTACTTGCTCTTAAATCATAAGCCACCAGGGAGAACTGAAAGTTGCAGGACTAAGTTCCTAAGAGAGAATTTCCCCTTCTTGGCAACCCCCGTACCACGCCCAGCACAACAAATGGACCCAGGAATACCACAGGAGCTGGAAGGACGCAGAGATCTCTGTGGTGACTGCCATGGCAGTGGCACCGTTGGGAAGGGACATGGCCCCATCACCCCAAGCAAGGTGAGCAGGAACTGCCATACCCACCAAGCTTCACGTTTTTCCTCCTGGTGAAATTGCTCTCCCTGTACACTGAACCCTATTCCTCCAATTCTTCAAATCAAAACGTAACCCAAGAGCCATAAATGTGGGAATCGATCTCCCCTTATGACCCTGGGCAAAGCAAGCTGTGCTGCTGTTTGCGCAACCACTAAATACTGTGTTTCTACAGAATCTTCCCCAAGAGCCATGTTTCCATTTGTGAACCTCACTGCACTTCACTCATTATGCACCTCAATTAATTTACGTAAACAGGACTGACAAACATCATCCCAGACAGAGTCTAGGATTATATTATATAAACTTCCATTATTCTGCTCTCCCTAGTTGGGGCAATTGTATTTTTCACCCTCAGTTAAGGAAAAGCCTTAATATTTTTTCTCTGGAGTGAAAGAGTCTTGCAGATCACAATAAAAGTTACAATCCAAAAAAACCCCATCCAAACAAACACAAAAAAGACACCATTAAAAAAACCACAAACATGAACAAATGAAAAACCCCACAAACAAACATCCAACAGCTCTTCACCTCAATATTCTGGCTTCATTTTATCCAATGCAAACTCCAAACAGCCCTCTAAACAGAAAAGCTCATTATAGGAAATTTCTCTACACATAATACTACTAGATGCAAATTCAGGACTGCAGTTGTGTTCCTGGTAATCTTTCCACTCTCACCTTTGCTAGACATCTCAGAACATTGAGAAGCATGCTGGCAGGGAAACGTGGGTGAAGGATTTTTTGTTAAACATTTTTTAGGTTGCTGTTAACTTTACTGTTAACTTACTTAGTATTTTCCAAGGTCTTCTGCATTTTCTTAGTCATCTTCTCAATGGCACTTTGTCTCTTCCCCTCTGGAAGGAGATCTATTTTGTTCAGAACCACCACCATCTTCTGGCAGGCAATCTGCCCAATTACCAAGCACTCTGCTGACTGCGTCTGCATCCCTTTTGTCACATCTATTACGAGCATCATCAAATCAATAATCTGGGCACCTGGAGGAGAATTCACAGTCAGTACTGCAGCAGCATAAAAAGATTAAGGATCATTTTCTCAAACAGCTTCCATAAAAAGCTGTCAGTATAGCACAAATGCCCAAAAATATGAACAAAAACACAAGTCACGGTATGCACTAAATGCACATTTGTGTTTGAAAGCAAGACCTCAGGAATTTAAGCTGGTATATCCTACCATTAGATCATAAAAAATATGGAAGTATGTGATATATTCCTCCATATTAACAATTCAAGTTTAAGAACTTTATCATTGCACTTAAAAACAGTTAAGAAAGTTACCTTTGCAGCAACAGAAGGCTGACACTTGGTGCAATTAAAAAAGAGCATCTAAAGAGCTAAGGAAGAACGCAGTATAGCCACAGCAACACACACCCCTGCAGAGAGCTGCACTCTCTACATGCCAGCTCTGCAATCCTCAGTCCCCTCCTGCTTCCCACCATTTCTTCTTTCAGAGCCCAAGATTCCACAAAAGTCAAAATAATAACCAGCACCAGAGATGGGATAAACAAATTCCTACAGTCCCCCCACGTGAGGAAGAGGTGATTCAAATCCTGCAATATCTCATTCACTCCCAATTCAGATCTACGTAGCTTGAATATGTACCTCATATACAGCCACAAACAGATCCAATTCTTAGATCTCTTCACAAAAAAGTTCCTAAATTTCACAGTGAAGTTACCCAGGATGCTTATGGATTATTTTTATTTTATTTTTCAAAGTATTGTTTTCAAGAACCCTTAATCCTTTGATTGAAGCAACCTGAGTTTCATGGATTTAGATTAGTATTCAAGGATGTTTTTGATGAACGTTGAGCCTTCCACTAATCACATTCAGAATTTTCCTGTCTCTTTCCAGGTAACTGAACTACTCTACTACCAAAAAAGTGCAACAGACTTTAATGTTGAGGAAGTTTAAACAAACTAAAACAAAATCTAAACTTGAACTGCCAGAAAGTCTTAGGTCAAAAGGCACATTTTTAAAGACGATAGAAGCTCGAAACTGTGCAAAATCACAACATTCTGAATGTAAGTACTTTTAAGATTTGCCTCAAGCTTTTGATCAGAAGAACAAGAAATCAATACAACTGTTCCTTGTTCCTTTGCCTTCCCCAACCTTCCCCCCCTTCCCCTTTTTTTTTTCGGTTTTAAGCTTTTACAATGGCTGTGACAACAGCTACCCTTGTTCATAATTCCCATGAACTCTGGATAGGAAATCATTCTGAGGTTGAAGTGCATGGGTGAATGAGTGGGTGGGAGCTACAACAACAACAAAAAAAAAATTATGGTTACAAATGACTATTTTGAACCTACCAAGGCTTTCATCTTGCAATAATGAATGCACTAGCTGGATAATTATGACATTTCTAAAGCTCTTGCCGAATTTTCACCAATCATTTCAACTATCTCTCCATGACAACTGAAGATAGACTTCATATCTTCATAAGCATTTTTCATTTTTATTGTTTCAATAATTACATTCACTTAGAACTTGTTTAAATTATAAATACGAGCATCATCAAGGCTGTACGAAAGGGTTCAGACTTCATACACAGAAATGCAGACCGAAAGGACAAGAAGCAAGAGGGATGAAAATAGCTCCAGCAGCACAAAACACTCCATCAGAACACACGCGCTTCCGCCAGTACATACAGCGGAGGTTTTGTAAACTTAATACAGCACTTGTATTTTCTATTAAATTAAACTGCTGCAAAAGTGACATCCTTAGAACAAACAGGAATTAATAACTAAAGCCAAACCGATTATTAATACTATTAAAAAAATGCATCTACTAATATGACAATGCTGCAGCTTCAGTTTTAGCTGACTGTTAATGACCCCTAGAGCCCAGCGGTCCTTGTGCTCCACAACTAAGGCAAAGTAGCAGGATCCAAATGTAGCCCTGGAAAGGGTGGCCGATAAAATGCATTATATACAGTGTGGCAACTCTTCCCTCCAACAAAAGACAAAACCTGCCCTGAAACTGTTACATGCAGTTTCAGTACAAGAGCCACTTTATCTGGAAACACTAAATTTGCCGCTTTCAGTACATTGGTTAAAGCAAATACTGCAATTGCTCTATTTATGAATGTATTAGCAACACTGAAAGAGCCATAAAAATCATCAGTCCAGTTGCTATGTCAAGAATGTCTATCTTCAGGCAATTCACAGAGAACAGAAGATGAACAAAGGAAAAATAACTGTACAGTCCATGGAGAAACTGCAGAAAGATCAGAAAACGTATCAAGACACTCCAGACAAAAATACATCACAAGGAGCAGCATACCCAAATTTGCAAATACAGGTCTCAGTACAACTACTGTGCCTTCTCCAAAGCCTTAACGTGCCGACTGGCCACAGCTTGGAAGAAATGTTGCAAGATGGACCAGAAAGCGTGGCAGGGGGGGAGCCGGCACCCAAGCAGGGTGGGAAGCAGCTGCCCTTCAGCGGAGTCACGGAACAGAGGGAAAGATCAGGGCAGTCCTGATAGAAATACTTTAACTACATTCCCCCATGGCACGAGGACATTTTGTACATGTCTGCTTACACATGGAGACATGAATGCTCAAGTTCATAGAACCCTTGGGTAACAAGGCAAAAAAAATAATGCTGTGATTTAGCTCCCCAACTTTCCTCTCTGAGCTGTTTAAAAAGTCATCTTTGACATCTCACCTTCTTCCCGATCCCTCAATCTTCTCCTAGACAGATTCACATTTTATTTTATTCTAGAACCCATTTCCTCAGTTGCCCTTTCTCCACGCATAATAGTTCATTAAATACTAAAATTACATAACCTAGGGAGGTCACAACAAAGTGCACTGAGATTCAACAAATGTAATGTTTTAATCAGGAAAGCTGGTAGGTCACTTGTAACAAAGTGACAAAACCCTAACATTCCCCCACACACAGAGTGAACATGGAACATTTCATTCAGTACATTTTTTCCTCACCACATGTAAATAATAATAGCAGGCTTACATTAAGTTTAATTTCATATTTACTATTTAAATAATCTCTACCACACTAGCAATCAATCCACTCACTACCATGTTGAATTTCAGACAACAAAGGGAACAACGTTCCCGAAGAATTTTCTACAGCAAAGTAAGATTTAACTAGGAAAGGGGAAGTGAGGCCAGATTATATTCTCATGTATGTAAATCTCACCCGGAAAGATCTTTAAATTGAGGCATAAAAATACCACGGTCATACAAAGCAGAGACTCCAAAACAAGGTGACAATATCACACAAGAACCTTGTACTATATGACCACAGAACACCCCCACGGCCTCTTGTGGGAAACAGAGCAACAAAAAGAACTGAAACACTGCTTTTGCTCAAAAAAGGAGATAAAGTATGCTCCTACACACTGAAGAAAAGCACCATGGAAGAGATGAGTGTTTCTCAAGTCCTCAAAGAATGCAAATGGCTTGAAGTTACTCTGAAAGAAGCAGACACAAGTGCAAAGGACAGTTCTGAATGTAAGTAAGCGCTGCAATGAAGAAAATACCTTAGCTGCACTGAAGCAGGTCACATTGAATCAATGATAAAGTTAAACTAAGGTATTCAAACTATTTCCCCATAGAAAGAACACAGTGTAGCTTTTTATTTGCTGTTTATCTATGAAAGAGGTGTTCAAGAACACTCAGAAAGACAGAGAGTCCTTCTGAATGATCAACTATTAGAGTATCCTTGGTGTGATGACATACAGCTCAGATGTAGCCCTGGAAAAACCAAACAAAATAAACTAGATGTCATAAGAAAACACAAGGGGGTGGGGAAAGATGGGAATTATATTGCAGTATAAGCAGCTAAACTGCAGCGAAAACCAAGTAGATAGTCTGAGTGAAGAAAAACAAGAAAGAGAACATGTCAACAGAGAGAATCTGGATGACAGCCAGATGCAGGAAAAACACAAGACCAGCAGCACAGAGAAAAGACTGCAAGAAGCACCAGCTAAACCTGGAGGCAGCATCGCTCATTTGTACCACAGAAGCGCCAGGGAACACAGAACTCTAAATTAAGAAAAATGCTCTGGCACAGAAGTCTAGCCCCTGTTTTGAACAAATACATTCAACCCATTCTTGCTTCTGAATTTTGTGGAGTATCTGATTATGAACAGTCACCAGGGAAGTAATTCATTACTTATTACTCATGGGACTACCCGAATCAGACATCACAGATTATGGCAGGTTTCTAAAAGGGCAGAAGGCTCAGGTTCCTTAATGTGGCCATGATCTCCTCCAAGAGAAGGGCAAAAGGATACCACGTGCATCACCGGACTCATAGCTCTCTTGATCCTGAAAAGCCCTCAGCAGCTGCTGTGAGTACACTGAAACTCAGAGACAGATGACCCAGAAGAACTGTATGCATAAAAGTATATTGACAGATCTTTAGAAGAAAATTCAGTGCATTTTCTGCAGTTACAAAAGGTAGACATTGTATCCTCAAACCTCTACCAAGATCTACCCATGGATCTAGGCAACAAGACTGCAGATCTGCATCCCCCGCATTAGATTCACTCATGAAGGTGTTAGTGTCACACCCACTTGCCATTTCTACGCAGCTTATATAAATAAGACACATGGAATCTTGCTCGCTGAAGTAGACAAACTCTGCAATGTTTACATGGTACTGCCTCACATTCTTACACAAGAGCAAACCATTAGTAACTCCAGATCTGTTAAACCAGTACTCAGAGGGAAAACACTATGTGAGCACCCAACCTACAGGCTGCCTTTTTATTTTTTTAATAAAAACATAGACCACTATAATTACAATGTTTATTTTGGAACAGAACATTTAATCCTAAATACCAAATTTCCTTCAACCGGGACCACAGTTGTTGCAGCTCTGTACATACATGAACTCAAGACACCTTCTGTTTTTGCAACCTGTTCCATGCTTATAAATTACAGACCCGTGCTTATAAATTATAAGCTCTCAGACTAAGCCATGCATAGATGGAGCCGTACAGCAAAGCACATTTATGGTAAACTAAAAAGGGCATTATTAAGTCTACGGAAAACAAAAAAAAAAACCCCACACGCAAAATTTCAGCCTCCTATATTACTTTATTAATTCCAAAAGCTTATTACCATTGTATGTGCAACAGTGCCCACTTTCAGAGCCATTCAGTTACAAGCAGTGAACTAGCTCACAATTTCATCCTTACTAAAAAGGAGAACCAAATGGCATTTTCAAATAAACAGGCAAAGTCTCAGCTCTTTCCTGTTCAACAAACGTAAATCAAAAATATTAGAGCACTTATAAGCACTACTATTTTGGCAAGTGTAAGTTTACTATTACATTAGATTCCCCATAATCCATTAATATCAACTGACATGGCTCCAAAGAGTAAAACCTGGGCTAGGATAGAGAAGAGGGAGTCGGGTCCCTGTGTCACTGAGGGCAGGATTTGCACACCAGGAGCAGAGAACATAGGCACAGATCCTCTCAGGACTTCATTAAGCTACTGTGTCCTGTCCTGTCTGTGGTAATCTTTTTAGCTGACTTTGCACAAACAGTACAATTCTTGTTCACAGGCACCAAAAGGAAGCATAAAATGGAATTTGAAATGTAAAAATAAAATAATTTTGGGCTATGGGCTATAATTTGATTTCATGCTTTACAAGGAAATGAAAGAGGACTTCCTTAAACATACTTTTAAAAAAATACATATATTTTTTACCATGTTAGGATCTCCTCTAGTGCAAAAGAGAAAATAGGATTGTAGAAAATGTACCGTTCTCAAGTATCATTGCTACTCAGGGGCAAAGCTCTGTTTTAATGTGCACTTCCCATTCTGGGGAAGAGGAAATTCTTCAATTAATAAACCGGGTGGACTGAGGCGAGTTTTTAAGGTTTAATCAATTTCATCTGCATGTGGGATAAAAAGACCGACTATTCTACCATTTTTGCCTCCCCTATTCCCCTTTCAAAAAAAATAATAAAATCAATGTTTTATTTTAAATTCTTTGAGGTTAGTATCTCCTGTCTCAGGAAATATTGTCTATATCATGCAGTGAGTATGAAACTTCCCCCTTCCCAGCACCTCCCCCCCTTTTTTGTTAAGAATCTTTATTCAGAAACAACTAAATTATTCTCAGCTTTCATATACAGTAACACCTTGGGAGATGCTACAAGTCACACAGGATTTTGTTAGGCACCTTAGGGGAGGCATTGTGATGAATAAGGAAGATTTTTTATGGGATAGGAAATCTCCCCAAATTTAAATAGAAATAGGCGGTGTGAGGAGTGAAAGTTTCACACAACCAGAGCACATGAATTACACATGAAAAAATCCTCTGTAAAGCAAATCAGGGAACATAACCAATACCACAACTTTCATCAGGAAGCACTTTGAAAAGAACAGGAACTGGTGGAGTTCAAGCATCCCACCACTGCTTCCAAGGCACATCACTCCTGAAGTTGTCAGCAAGGGTAGGCACAAGCAG